AAGATCGTGTATTCTTACTCTGCGTGGGAAATTTGGTAGGAGGTTTTTGATATGTGTTTGATCGGTGTGGTGGTTTTAATGTGTGACTACATGTGCTAGTCAACGCGGCGTTGGTCATCCGTCCTTGTCTGTGTGTTCTTACGGGCTGTGATTGGTCCGTGGATCTGACGTTGGAGGGGGCGTATGAGGTGGAGGTCTGATTTGGATTGTACGGTTGTTCAGTTTGCTTCAGTCAGTCTGTTAGCGTATTGATTCTTTCTCCTTTTTATATTCTGTTTCTACTTCGAAAATATGCAAGACCTGGATGATTATTTTTCATTGGTACGTGTGTTTCGATTTGTCATCTATACCTTTTTGGTGTTGTTTCATTCTTTCGATTTTTGAGTTTTTTAAGTGCACGAGGTTTTTCAGTTCATGCGGGTATTTGTCAGATTTTTGATGTCGTGTAGTATGGTTTTTCTTTTTGTATCTTTTGTATATATACAAATTTTGGCGTTCTGGTTTTTTGTGGTGTCTTAAAATTCGGGTCGTGAGGCCCACTTCTCTCTCTCTTTTTTAATTATGGATGGTCGTCAATTATATTGTATATTTTAAGAGTTTTTGATTTGATTCTTATAGTTTTGTGTGATAGAGTCTCGAGGTAGTGGTCTATGTAAGGCTTGATACCGCTTTCTGATGTAGTATATCCTGATTTTTGTAACCTTGTTTTTGTCCTTGTTTTACCACTTATGCTCGTGTTTGTCGCTTTTTACATCACTCTTCTTTTTCCATTTTCATGTCAGTGGTTTTGCATGTGCGTGTTTATAGCTTCGTTGGGTTGGCCTTTAGTGGTATTATTTTATTTTATTTCGTTTTTATTTGCAGGTTGCGTTGGTCCCGATGGACGATTCGCGCCTAGGGACCTTAGATGGGGTACGGGTTACCATCGTCCCAGAGGGCTATCCCATACGGGTTCTAGACAGTGAGGAGTGCGGGGTACTTAGATCCCGCATTCGCCATGCAAACGCACGATTGATTTCACGAATCCCGATTTACGAGCAGCGAACTGGATTACGTCAGGTGCGGCCCGTGCGTCGATAGCTGTCTTTCTCTCATCGTCGCGGAGGCCTGATGGTGGACGGAGCCGCTCCGTTACTCTTAAGCCGGGTATTCATCTCAGCACGAATGCGAACGAGGCAAGGCAAGTCCGAACGAATGGCTCATTTTGCCTCGTTTGTAAAATTTTTCTTCGCGAACAAAGTCTGCTGAGGCAACGAACGAGATTGTGATCCACAGCGAACGCAGTGAACGGTGATCCAGCGAGATAGACGATCTTTGGTGGCCAGCGCTGCTTTCGTGGTAATTGCCGGATTATTAAAAGAAAGAAAAAAAAGCGGTGGTGGAAGACTGCTTTATATCGACATAGATTGAGCACCAGAGGTCAATGTTTCCAAGAGATCCTTGTCTGACCTTATCGCCATCGNTTTTTTTTTTTAATACATGTTTGAGGTTTGTGGACCAGTTTTCTCTTCTTTTCCTTTGTAAAAGAGTTTTAACTTAGTATTTTAGTGTGATTTTAAGATCAGTAGATTTGATGAGAGAAGAGTACTTGGTCGAGTCTTTTTCCTATTATTATATTTTAAGTGAATTCTATTAATTTGATTCTTATGATTTATTCTTGTGTGATAGAGTGTCAAGACAGTGGTCTGTGTACGGTCTGATTGCCGCTTTCCTGATGTGGTATATCCTGATTATTTTGTGTCCTTGTTTTGCCTTGTTTCGTGTTTTACTTCTTATTGTCATGCTCGTGTTTGTCGTTGTTTTATATCATCATTTTCTATTTTCATGTTGGTGGTTTTGCATGTGCGTGTCCATAGTTTTTAAGGATTAGTGATAGCGTTGGGTTGACCCTTGTGGTTTATTTTGTTATGTTTTATTTGCAGATTGCATTGGTTCCGATGGATGATTCACGTCTGGGGCCCCTTGAGGGGGTGCGGGTAACTATCGTCCCGGAGGGCTTTCCTGTACGGGTTTTGGACAGCGAGGAATGCGGGGTGCTTCGATCCCACATTCGTCACGCGAACGCCCGATTAATCTCCCGAATCCCGGGTTACGAGTGGCTCACTGGTCTTTGTCAGGTTCGGCCTGTCCTTTTCCTACAGGCGTGGAGGACTGGTGGTGGAAGGGGCCGGTCTGTTGCTCCTCTGGTGGCTGCGCTCGTGTATATTGTTGGACGTGCTCTTGTGCAGCGTACCCGTAATTGCTCAGTTTGAGCTTTTACTGAGCGTCGGGCTAACTGCTACTGATCCTGCTGTTCGGAATCCAGTCGGCAGTGTTATCCCGATCAGGGACCCTGGCCAACGATTATTGGATCTTGTATCTCTTCCTTCTCCTTGCGTTGTGAGGCCGTTCCGCGGATAAAAGTTTTCTTCTTTTCTCTTCTTTTTATAGTTTTTGTTATTATTGTTAATTATTTAGCTCTTAGGCCTCTCCTTTCTCCTATATATCTGTGTGTTATTTCCCTTTTTTCTTATGTACAGGTAGCCCTCCTTCAACACGGCATCTTATAACACGATTTCGCTATAACACGATTCGTAAATTGCGCGAACCCTCCTACAACACGGTATCCTATAACACGGTTTCGCTCTGATACGATAAGAAAATTGCAAAAACCTTTGTAAAGTACTGTACTTCTACAGCCGCAGCGAGGCTTGCCGTCTTAAAGATACAATGTTGCCACTGAGATGTATACATTTCTATCTCAGTGAGTGTTACGGAAATTATTTCTTTTCATCTCCGTGGCCTGAAAACAAAAGTGTCTCACACTGCTGGTCGGCAGTTTGCGTCGAGCCGCGGTGTGTTAGGNCATACATAACCTCTCATCTAATATAATTCATTATTATAATTTCTTAGCGATATTTATGCCATCGCAGCATACGATAGCAGTGCAGCTAGTTTTTTTTTTGCCCCGCATCCCTAGTAATACAGTCATGTAGAATAACTTTTAAAAATTATTAAATTTAGAAACGGTTTCAATTTTCGCGCCTTAAGTATAATCGGCGTATATTATCTATCTCCCAATAAGAAAACAACTCGCGCGCTATTGACCACGAGAACCAATCATAATATCCATACCTTTTACGCATGCTCATTGAACGTTCACTGGACGTTCATTATGACGTAGTAGATTCTTAACAAATCAGAAAGCTAGACAAAGCTGATTGGATCGTACTAACAAATTACAACGAGGGTTGCATATGAGGGCTAAGCGCATGCTCAGTGAAGTACTCCTGAACCGATTGGCTCCATCTCATAAACAGCTTCGGGTAACATAACCTATATCTATCAATGTTAAGAATATCAAATGTATGAAAAAATGGGAGGAAAATGAATCTGAGCATTGGAACCATTATAATTCTTCTTTAATTAATTATCTATTTATTTCTTACTCGATCATTCACTTAAACATCACATGTATTACTTACATATCAAGCGTACGCTACCTGTTAAGCTGATCATACGCATAGGATACTTAACTAGATTCTCCACGCTACGCTCTTTCGCTACTATTAGCGATACTTACCTTCTCGATCCTTGATCCTACCGTTCCTGTCCAGAATCCTAATCCACCTACCTGAAACATAACCTCTCCTGTGCTGTCTCATTCCCAATATATTTTTCCTTATGTGTGACTGAGTATTGAATGAATGTAAGTGTGGGCTGGCGCAAACATTCGGGGGGCTGGGAGTGCCTAAGGTGCTGGGAGTGAGTTTGGCCCCCAGTTCTCGAGGGCTGATGTGAGCCTGCTCTGCCGAGGCTTTCCCGGTGTTTGACGTCTGGAAGTGTCCCCTTCTGGTCCCTGGCCAGGGATTGCACACTAGATTGGGGTGTCGGACTCCCAATTGCCCCGGGCGAGCGCTTCCCCGTCCGACGTTCGGGGGGGGGGGGTAAAGAGTATGTGTGGGGTCGGCGGAGTTCCGTCGAGTGATGTGACATTCCATGGGTGTACCCCTCCACACAGCTGCCCACTCCCTTCTGCATAAGAGACACCAAAACCAAAATTATGTCTTCTTCACAAACAAACAAACCCAATATTACATTGTCCAAAACATCTACGCCAACAATTTCTAGAACTTCAGTGCTCTCAGATCCTATCTAAGGCGATACAACCACCCCTATAGCATCTTCTGACTCAGCCAATTTGGATGAGAGATATGCATATGCCCTCCCGCATACTCCAACTTTCACTTTGCACCGCAGTCCACCTGCTGCGCGTCCAACGGC